GCAGGCGGTTGAGCACAGTGCTGTGAAACTGTCCACAGCCTCTGCAGCGCCGGTTCAATCTCGGGCCGGCCTGGCGAGAATCCCACATGGTGCAGCAGACCTCTCCTGTCTCGCCCGCTGCTCCCCTCAGCAGTATATTACGTCAGTCTGCCTGTTTTGTTTCCCTCTCTGTCTCTGGTGAATCCTCTCACTCTCCCGCACATCTGGCCTGTACCCCAGTTCTTGTATAAATAAATCAATCTTTGGGGAAAAAAGAGAAAAAAAAAATCTCACACCAGTGATTCTCATTCAGCTCCTGGAAGACTTCAATTTCAGTCGGGTCTCTATTGTGTGGGTTGCATGCTGACAAGCTGGCTTAGGTTTTTCTCACACCTTAGGACACATCTTGCTGGCCAGTACACAAAACAGATTACGCATAGCTGCTCGCTCAATTCAAGGCTATGGCGATGGTGATGCTGAGTATACTTTCCTGTGATTTGGGTCAGTGGTTCCCTGCTGAGGTCGAGAGTACAAAGGATCCACAGGAAATTTTCTCTTGATTGTGATGATAGCTCTACAGTGGTAAGCACATCAAAAATTGTCAGACTGCACTCTTCAAGTATGTGCAATTTATTCTGAGTCTATTCTACCTGAAGACATTCTTCTTTTTTAAGTCAGCAAAGGTTGACTTCTAAGACTTCTGAGCCCACCCAGTAACTCTGCAACCAACCTCGTTAGCTGACCAACAAGGAGGCAGCCAGGTGTGGCTGTGAGGTTTTGGGGAATCAATACTTCAAAACTGAAAAAAGTGATGCAGGAGTTACACAAACGAAATGCAAAATGTGGGTGGATTATTGACACAAATTAGATGGGGGAGTATGGCTTAAGCAACATGTCCCTCAAGCTAGTTTGCATCTCCCAGTAGCAGGTCTTCTGAAGCAGGGGGCAGACTGCACATTAGTGTCAGAGAAGCCATTTGCTGTGCTCTCCTGGCCCAGCACCTCTCTAAAAACAGTCTTCCCACAGGAAGGAGGCTTGTCCCAGGGGCTATTACTCTAGACTTCAGCCATTTTTTTTATTTATTTTTTTTTGTAAAGGGCCAGGAGGTAAATATTTTAAGTTGGGACACAGTCTCTGTTCAAATTACCTCAATTGTAGCAGCTCAAAGAACCACAAACCACACGCAAACAAGTGACTGAGCATGTTTGCGTTCCAATGAGACCTTAGTTAAGGACACTATTAATCTGAAGTCGTGTTGTCTTGTGTCAAAAGATAGTCTTATGATTTTTGTCAACCTTCTGAAAATGTGAAAACGATCCTTAACTCACAGTTCACACAAAAATAAGTCACAGGCCAGTTTGCTGATTCCTACTCAAGGGAATGCCTCAAAATATAAAGAAAAGGGCCTCCCTGGTGGTGCAAGAGGTTAAGACGCAGCACTATGAAGCTATCTGCACCCACTGCAACACGAGTTCAATCCCCTGCCAGGGAGGTGACCCACATGGCGCAGCAGACCTCTCCTGTCTCGCCCGCTGCTCCCCTCAGCAGTGTGTTTCAGTCAATCTGTCTGTTCTGTTCCCCACTCTGTCTCTGGTGAATCCTCTCAGCCCCCGCATCTCTGGCCTGTACCCCAGCTCTTGTACACATAAATAAATCTTTAAAAAAATGCAAAGAATAAACATCCCCCACCAACCTCCAACAACTAGGCACTACAGAAATCAGGAACCCTTATTTTGATTTTTACATATCTTTAATAGTGTTATATTAGAAATGAGACCTTGTCAATACAGGGGGGAAATAACACACGCAAAAATGATACATCTTAAAAATAAAATTGAGACAAAGCCGTCCACTATAGATTGATCACATACAAAAGAGTGGTAGCCCCTCTCCTTCCTGCTCACAGGGTGGTGTCATTGGCAAGATGCCTGGTTTTCTTAACTCGCTGGCTTGGTTTCCAGCAGTTGTGATCACAAACACACTAGGCTTCTTAATGCTGTGGCTTTGCATCTTCCTTCATCGAATTAAACCAGCAATCTTTTCTGTTGGCTTGTGAATCCTATAAATGCCCTCCTGCTTTCCAGGGTCCTCTTTTGCCCTCTCTAATTCTTGGCAGTTGCTCTTCCAAAGGTACTTAATGGTAAGTGTCCCAGACGAGAAAGCGGATTGTCACTCCACCTTGTGCTCTGATGAGGTGTGAGGTACACGAGAGGATCCACTGGCTGGTCACTAGTGTGCAGTTTTGTTTGATTTACCATGGATTCAAGATCCTTCTGTGGCCAGTTGAGAAAGCAGGGGCAGCGCAGGAGCGGCAGAAGCAGCACTTGGCTAACCGAGAGGTAGAGCCCATAGGAGACAAGGCAGAATTCATCCTAGTGCTGGGATCACAGCATCCAAAGGTCCACCAGAATTTTCCCTCCATAGTTGGGGGCAGGAGTTTTTTAGGTCTTGGTGGGAGGCAGTTGGAAATCAGAGGCTCTGCAGCCTAGAATTTGTGCATTCAATTCCCAGACCCACCATTTCTTAGATGTGACCTTGGGCAACTTACTTAGCCTCTCTGGGCCTTCTGATGGTTATCAGAGTGAGCCCCCACCACAAGAGAGTAACAATACCCACAGGGCCTCCCTGGTGGCGCGAATGAAGCTATCCATAGCTACTGCAGCACGAATTCAACCTCCGGCCAGGGAGGTGACCCACATGGCACAGCAGACCTTTCCTGACTCGCCCACTGCTCCCCTCAGCAGTGTATTTCAGTAGATCCACCTGTTCTGCTCCCCACTCTGTCTCTGGTGAATCCTCTTACACCCCTGCATCTCTGACCTGCACCTCAGCTCTTGTATGCATAAATAAATAAATCTTAAAAAAAAATCCACTTCTCAAGGTTGACTGCAAGGATTGATGGAGGACAGGAATAGAAAAAACTGTAAAGGAGGCCACAAGGCCAGAAACCTGGCTCACACAAGGACGTGGGGGTAGAAGAGATTAGCTTAACTATTGACACAGCTATGGAAACTAGGATCCTTAGGTGCAGGTGACACAATTGTGGAAACTAAGATCCTTAGGCACCAAGGCCTAGATTACAAAGCATAACATCCAAGCAGGTATCTGAGGGAGAGGAGGGCAGATCCAAAGGTAAAGATATGGAGATTGAGCCCATCAAAATCAGCAACTAACCCAGAGGCTCACAAGGAGTGACTCCTCCCAAACAGAAGAAGACTATATCAGTGCAGTCTCTGCACAGGCTGGGGGCAGCACTCCCTCTGCCCACTTGTGGCGATGCAGGTGCCTCTTTTCACCAACTATCTCCCTCTGCAGGGCAGCAGCCTCCTGCCAGCCGGTGACCTGCACCTGCCAGGACTTCTCTCCACTGACCTCCCTCAGTGGAGGCCACTCTCCTCAAGGTCGCCTGCCTGCAACCATGCAGGCCTCTCTCAGCAAACCTGTCCCTTGGGGCAGCTCTTCTTGCCTGCTTGTGTCTACGCAAGTGTCTTTTACTCTTCCGTCCCTTTCCCTAATAAACCTGCCCTTTAAATACAACTAACGTCTCTGTCTCGTGGAGAAACTTGCTTGGGAAACTCGCTGCGTATCGCTGAAACGGGAGCTCTGGTTTCCCAGAGCTTTCCCAGAACCCAAGGACCCCGCACTCACTCTGAAAACCACATCAAGGATCACACATATTACATACATAAAGGACAGGGTCTTTCAACAAATGACTATGTACTTCTTCGTCATGATATTCTACCAACCTCATATTTGGGCTGTGATCCGCTATGCCAGAGATTTCTGGCCATGCACAAAGCAACAGGACCTTGGTCACTGGGTCGAGCAGATTTTAAATTTATGAAGATAAATATTGGTGTAAAAAGCCTCCCATGTTCATTTGAACAGCATAGACAGTATTGAGCTGGCTGGCAACACAGAAAGGCTTAAGCCAAGAAATAACATCAAAACTAAACTTACACTCCTGTACTTTTTCATCGTCATTTCCTATAATGGACAGTAATTAAATCAAGATGGTCTTGTGACGATGAATATTAACAGAGAGCACAGAGAGTCGTGAAAACTTACTTTTTTCCCAGAGGCTCGCAGGAACATGGCCCCTGCCCTGATGGTTTAAATCTGGTGGTTCAGTCACCTTCGTGGTTCTCTTAATCATAACAAAGCAGTCCTAGTTCTACAGCGGCCATGGCAGCAGGTGTGTATGCTCACAACTTGATGCTGCCACACTGCTTCTGGGATGGGCCCCACTGTCGAGTAAGTGAAAAATTATCAGGCTTTTCTGCCCTCCCACCATTAGCATTAATGATGGAGCCCTGCGGTCCTACATGCATGCCTGATGGCGGGCACCTGGAGTAGGGTGTGGGCCTGCTGCCCACCTGGGCTGAGAGACTGAGATTATAAGGGTGGTGTCCCCCAACAGGAAAGGAGCAGAAAGAAGAACCATCTGAGCAGCAAAGGAGAAGCAGAGACCACGGGAGAACGCCAGAGAGCCCAGAAAGAGTGAAGACTCGCCATTCCCCCACCCACCCCCTTGTAAAAACCTGAATAAAAGCCTGAAAAAGCCACTGAGGGTGCCAGGACTCTCTCTCTTCCTGCCTTTCATTCTTACCTTCCCATGAATTATGTCAAAGGCACCACCCAGATTATTGTTATGGGCCTTGACCTAACAGAGTGGGTCCTTTGCTGTCCAGGCAAAGAATTCACCAGAGTGCCAGGGATAGGGGAGTCTGGCTAATTCTTTCCTGCACTGGTTCCCTTGTGCTTGAGCCTCTAATAAAGCCTTGTCTGGCTCAGCTACAACTAGCGCTAGAGAATTCTTTCCCTAGAGGGCAAAGGACCTACTCTTTGGGGTGAGACCTGTAACACTGCCAGGCTTAGGACTGTGGGCGGATGGAGAATCTACAGAGCAGTTCATTGCTCTGGGAGCTACTCTGTGGTCAGGGATGGCTTCACTTCACCCATGTATTTAAAAGATTTATTTAGCAGAAAAACTATTTAATAAAAACATTTTAAACACATGGAATGTTAAATTATTATTACAGAAAGCGCATGTGGGAACCCAGAGTATCAAGAATGTGCCATCCTAATGAAGACGGATGGCATTTCAGAGTTTGGGGACAGATGCAAAATCACTAGTTCTTGAGCTCTATCTACAGCAGTCAGCACGCATGGCCTACATTATAGCCCCCATAAATATTTTGTGAGTTAATCACATTTATTGTGTTTAATGTAAAATGGGCCTAAGAGAGGACTCAATGGAGGTTTTTTATAGGAGAATGAAAAGGTAAAGAATGTAAAAAGACTGGCTTCAATGTTCAGTCTACAAGTCCCTCCTTGTCGATAACCTCCTCCTCGGAATGCAATTTTTATTGAGCTGTCAAACATCCAAGATCTGCTTTCTAGAAAGAGCACAGAAACGGTGGTTGACAAAAATGAAGAAGTTAAACCAGGGGGCTTTGCTCTGTCTGGGTATTGCAAGCTGACACAGAAAGCTTGTGGCACAGAAGTCAAGCCAGGCCCAAGAGAAACCATCATAAGTCTTCTGAGTTTATGGATCCACTCAGAGTTGTTTGCAAAGTCAGCCTTAAGGGCATACATAGCTTCTGAGATAAGTGAGACCTCTTTAAATCCATATTTAACTCACCTTCCCTAAAGCAGTTAGAAACAGGTGTTAATCTTTATTTGAACACAGACAAGATATACTGGATCAGCCACAAAACCACGAAACTGGTGGTGCCTCCCTGGTGGTGCAAGGGGTTAAGACGCAGTACTGTGAAGCTATCTGCAGCCAACGCAGCACGAGTTGGATCCCCGGCCAGGGATCTGACCCACATGGCGCAGCAGACCTCTCCTGTCTTGCCCGTTGCTCCCCTCAGCAGTGTATTTCAGTCGATCTGCCTGTTCTACTCCCCACTCTCTCTGGTGAATCTTCTTGCCCCCTCACACTGTGGCCTGTACCCCAGTTCTTGTATGTATAAATAAATCAATCTTAAAAACAAAAACAACTTAGCTTCCTGCCCAGCCTTTATTCCTATTCACAAGTATCCCAGTGGAGAAAGCAATGTTCTTGTTTGATTTTGTGTCTCAAAAACCTCATGAAAACGAGTCTTTTCAAATGTGGAGACACATATCCTGCCTCCCACATATCCAGGCCACGGTGTGTGAACTCCCTCGGGCACTGGATGAAGGACTCCTGGGCCATCCTTCTTTTCACAGCAGCAGCATTATCTGTCCTTTGAGCAGTAGCTGAAGGAAGTGCCATTTCTGATGGAGCCATTCATGGAAACCTTTGGATTCCCTCTCTCCATTCTTTCTCGGCTAAAGATGGTGTCCTGGTCACTGTCCAACTCAGACTCTGACACCATCAGGCTGGAGTTGTGCTCTGTGCTGCGGTGCTTGATACCTAGGGAAAAGCAGACAGATATGTCTTAGGGAGACAGCATTTTCCACTCTCGGCTGTCTGTCATTCCGTTACAGGGCAGGGAGAGGGGCACCCCAGAACCCCCACACCTGCCTGCTCTAAATAGGTTCTGCCATCTGCTGCATCAAGATAAAATGTAAAGAAGTTCCTTTCTTTAATGGAAAGGAACTTTAATATAATTAGTAAACAATACAGAAAAGACAAAAAATATAGTTTCTAAATCAAGCAGCCAAAGTGACCCGTCCCCTGGTGGGTAAAAGTCCACCCAAGCAGGATTGGTCCAGAGCAAGGCCCCAAAGCCTGGCACAAATCTAAAGCACCTTCTGGCGGGGACCCACAGAAAAGGATCAGAAGCAACCAGACAAGTCTGGGAGGAAAAGAGCAACATCAAAAGCAAGACAAAAACCACCACTGTCACCTCCCCACGGGTCTCACCCACATCTGTGTCACCCAGTCCACAACCAAAAGGCAAGCGCAGTTTCTTCATGTGTCTCTCTGCTCCATGTGCCTCCTCCAGGTCTCCTTCTGGCTCCCCATCCTGCTTCCTCCCTCCTTAGTCTCTTCTCCATCTTTTTCTCCTCCCTCTGCAGCTCCACCCTCCTTTCAGTGGGGCAGGGAACCTGGAACCTCCCCTTTTCCTGGGCACCAGCCTGTTGCAATTCTGATTTCAGGACTGTGCTCTCAGCACCTTCAAAGCCATCACTCACAACACAGCTGCAGGGTGGGGTTTCCTAGTGATTAATAAGTGGGGCTGTAGAATCGCACCTAAGCCTGAGGCCAACTTTTGATATCTCCTATCTGTGTGTCTCTGGCCCAGGTGCCAAACCTCTGGGCTTTCAGGGTCCTCATCTGTTAAACTGGAAGGTAACAAGGCATCTCCTCCATGGGTTTATGATGGGGATTAAGTGAAAGAGTCCATGGAAAGTTCTGGTCCAGCATCTAGCACAATAAATGAAAGCTGTTATGATTTTACCATTTAGTTCAATCTCATATTTTTTGGTAGAGAAGTTCATTGCTGGCAATCAAAATAAGAGACAGCTCTCAAAGAATTTATAGTGTCTAGCTAAGGGCTTAGGACAAAGGCTCCTGAGAATATAGTTTATAACAGGCAAGAATTTAAAAATAAATCTCACATGAATCTAAATGATATCAGCACACAATTATCAGCCGTTTCAGTGGTATTCCAAATAGGATGGGATTTGAAGAGATTTGGGGCAGAAGAGGTGCCCAGAAATATTCAGAGAAAATAGTCCAGCTAAAGGATTCGTGTAGGAAATTGTGAACGAGGCTGAGACCTCAGGAATACAAGTGAAGCCATGAAGTTTGGATTTTAAAAGCAAACGTGTGACTTGATTAACTGTGGTGTCAGGACATTATTAAGGTGACTGTGCAGGACGGAAAGGGGAGGAAAGTGACCTTGAGCTGACAGCACACACAGAAGAGCAGGGGGAGAACAGAGCCCAGGCTTGCAGCAGAGGTCCTGGCCCAACCTGCACCTGGGAATCCCCAACTCTGGTACTTCAGCAAGTTGCTAAGCTTTTTGGACCTCCTCAGTGGAGCAGCGGTTGAGCGCTGGGTTGCGAAGCTGCCCGCAGCCTCTGCAGCGCTGGTTTGATCCCTGGCCACTGGGTGAGGGTCCCACATGGCGCACAGACCTCTCCTGCCGCACCCGCTGCTCCCCTCAGCAGTGTATTTTGTCAGTCTGCCTGTTCTGCCCTCCCCTCTGGCTCTGGTGGATTCTCTCACCCTCCCACGCTTCTGACTGTACCCAGTGCTTGTATAAATAAATAAATAAATATTAAAAAAAAAAGTTGCTAAGCTTTTCTGTCCTTGATTTCCTCTTCTGTAAAATGGGTATAATTATAGTATGCATCTCATTGAGCTATTATTTGGACCGGAATTAGATGGGTAACATGCTTAGAACAATACCGAGTACAGAGATTAAACATTTAATACCTGTTAACCATTATTGTGCATGCTATAGTTTAGAAGTGAGAGGAGAAGGATCTACACAAGGGGGAGGTGGTGAAAATGATGGAGAAAGGGGGCAAGATACTAGGCGAGATGGCCTGGGTACAGTAGGGACAAGGCACCTGGCCAGGCTCCCATGACTGAGGCTTAGGACCTGGGTGGTAAGAAGGGGAGTTCTGTGAGCAGACATGGCAATGTCAGGAGGGTGAATGTATTTTAGGGGCAAGAGGATGAGCTAATGCAGCCTAAAGCACCCTGAGCTCTTAGGTATAAAGTCGCCTTATAACGCCTCTGCTCTTAAGTCATGTAAATGGTGAGCATTCCGTGTACTTACGAATTCCTATTAACGTGTGCCATGATTTGTACTTTCTGTGATGCTTTTCCTGCCAAGGCTCCTGACTCCACTCTCCCTACACCCTCAGTTGCCCTGGTCTCTGTGCCCCACAGGGCAGGGTCCACGCTGCTGTAGGACTTGTCACATTCTGGAATAACCCTCCTCCCTCGGCTGTGAGCTGCCATAAAGGCAGGCATAGGCTTCATTCTCTCCAGGGTCTAACCAGATGGTTGTACTTAGTAGGCGCTCAGCATTTCCTATGGATGCCTTTGAAAGTGATTCTGTTCCTCTGGACAAATTAACTTAGTTATACATCCAGAATTATGAAAAATTTATAGAGTGAGTGCTGAGCCGCCTTAGAAGACCAGAGAAACTTCAATAAAGTCCAAGAATTGATAAATGAGAATGACAAAGTTAACAGAGAGATCGGTTCATTTTGCGTAGAAAGTCAATTTTCTGTTAAAGTCTTGTCTCCATCTAGCTACAGGGCTAACTAGTTAAGTCAGAGACTAAATAAAAATGCTTGACTTTGAGGTCTAAATGTTATTTTGCTGCATTTCTTGTGTATAGATGTCAAGGGAATAGCCCTCAGAGACAAGAGGGGGTGAACTGATCCTACACTCTTCAAACTAAAGTAGAGAGCATTTTGGCACTAGTAATACCTCTGTTTAATTTGGTGGGTGCTAAGCTGATAAGAGGTGTTTCCTACCCCTCACCCATTAAAGTCTCTGAGCACTTTGCCAAAATTTCATTAAATTTATAGCATAAGGGGCCTCCCTGGTGGTGCAAGGGGTGAAGCACCACACTATGAAGCAATCCGCAGCCTCTGCAGCATGGGTTTGATCCCCAGTTGGCCAGGGAGCAACCCACATGGCACAGCAGACCTCTCCTGACTCGCCCGCTGCTCCCCTCAGCAATGTACTTCGATCAGTCTGCCTGTTCTGTTCCCCACTGTGTCTGGTGAATCCTCTCACCCCATCCACACCCCTACACACACACCTCTGGCTGTACCCCAGATCTTGTATGCATAAATAAATAAATCTTTAAAAATAAATAAATAAATTTATAGCATAGGGGGCCTCCCTGGTGGCGCAAGGGTTATAAGCATCAGCTAGTGAATCCTCTCCCCTACCCCCTCACCTCTTGCCTGCACCACAGCTCTTATATGCATAAATAAATCTTTAAACAAAAATTTATAGCAGAGCATTCCCTCTTAGTTAGCATAGCCTCAGATGATGTGCATTGCTTTCCAGACAGTTCTTTCTCAGTTTAAGTGCTGACATCTGCCTGTGTGGGTCCCTGCTCCCCAAGGCAACTCTCAGGTAAACTCCTGGATGGAATTATTTGAAGGTGTCAGGCAGCCATTTTGGAGACTCTCTTACCATATTTGGGTCTCAGCTCCATTCTCTCCTGGTCATCCATGTTATCTAGGATGGTATACCTTGTTTTTTTCCTTATTTTAGTCCTTTTTCGCCTGAAAGGAAAAAATGCAAAGTTCAGCTCAGATTCTCAGAGAGATAACAGGATCCAGGATTTAAGACATGTGGAGGAGGCTAGAATGGCCTCTAGAATGTAATCATTGGTCACCATCTTTTAATAATGATGTGCATACACAGGGAGGTCTGATTCAAAGGCACTGAAGTTCTTCATGCAGACTTTTAGGAGCAGAAAGGCCACGCTACCCACAGCCACAGCTCTCTGCAAAGACTCAGAGGAGGCACCAGGGTCCTTTACAGCAATGCTCAACTCCTGTGTGCTGGCCCATCAGTAATTCTTTCCTCAGAAAAACCTGGATAAGCAATTTACCCCTCAACCTGTACTACCTTGGAATGTCCAACAATGCAGGAATAAAAGAAACCAAAATCTGAGAAAAAAAAAAAATTATACATAATAAAGGCCTCCGTGGTGGTGCAGAGGTTCACGACAGTGCCGTCAAGCTATTGACAGCCTCTGCAGCACAAGTTTGATGCCCGGAGGCCAGGGAGCTACCCACATGGCACAGCAGACCTCTCCTGTCTCACCCTCTGCTCCCCTCAGCAGTAGATTTGCCTGTTCTGCTCCCCACTCTCTCTGGTGAATCCTCTCACCCCCCAAACCTCTGGCCTGTACCCCAATTCTTGTATGCATAAATAAATAAATCTTTTAAAAAACTATATATAATAAATTCCTAAATTTAATTAGCAACAACCCAGTCTTGCATTATTTTTCCACACCACGGGAAAACAACTGGTTCTACATGCCACAGCCTATATTTCAGAGGAGAATGTGCAAACCCACATCAAATCCATGGGACTCTGCAGGGAGCAGAGTCATTTCATAGCACAGAAGCAACTTTCTGAGAGCTTGGCAATGAAGAGCATGGGTTTCTAACCCTGGGCTAAACACTAACTAGCTGGGTTGCTTTCAAAAATTATTTGACACTTTGGTGCCTCCATGTTCTCACCCACAAAATGGGAGTAAGAGTATGCTCTCATGTGGTTGGGAAGAGTCAATAAGATAAAATATAAAAAGCACATAGCACCATTAATCATAGTGGCATACGGGCCTTCCTGGTGGCACAAGGGGTTAAGATGCAGCACTATGAAGCTATCTGCAGCCACTGCAGCATGAGTTTGATCCCCAGCCAGGGAGCTACCCACATGGTGCAGCAGACCGCTCCTGTCTCACCTGCTGCTCCCCTCAGTAGTGTTATTTCAGTCAATCCATCTGTTCTGTTCCCCACTCTGTCTCTGGTGAATCCCCTCACCCTCCCACACCTCTGGCCTGTACCCCAGGTCATGTATGCATAAATAAATAAATCTTTAAAAAAAATCATAGTAGCATATGTTCACAGTAAATCCCTGACATCATCACCATCATCATCACTGTTTACTTGATGCTTATCTCACAAAGCTTCTGTCATAATGTAAAGGGGCTTAAAGCACAGTAGGGTAACCATCATTCCAGATGGTTCTTAATGGATGTGACTTAACAGGCGGTATGCCTCTAAGTGCCTGTGTAGGTGTTCCCTTTACCTTTGGAAAGGTAATCGCAAATGAAACTAAAATGATTTGTTAAGTGGTTGCTGAGAAACAGCCACTCATTATGGTATACCATTATTTTCCATCATGTCTTCTTTGTGGAGATTATTGGGGCTTCATCTGGGTAGGTGCATCCCATGCTATCTTCAAAGAACAAGAGGAATCACTGTCACTGTGAATCTCCTCACAGAGGGCTAGGCAAGGAGTTCTGGAAGATTCTGACAATGGGGCAGCTCAGGGACTTCTCAAAGGTCAGCCCCATGGAAAAACTTAAGCAAAAACTCTGTTGATGTTAACACCTCACTTAAAGTTTTCCACTTCTTAGATAAAATTCATGTAGATTTGGTTGTTGCTTTACACAGTTAAATAATATCTATATCTAAAATGCCTTCCTCTACTGAGGCTGACTAGTCAGGACACTTAGGGGGTGTTCTACTGAATATAATGTGAGACTGATAGAAAATCACATTAGATTTGATACAGAATCATTGAACCATCTAGAAAATCTGAGAGCAGCAATGAGATAAGCTTCCATTAAGCTTATGGAAGCTAGGCACATAAGTCCAGAAAAATAAGAGACTGCATGATATAGTAGCTTTAAAGTCTAGTTTGTCTTTATATAAAAAAGTATTATGAACAACAGTTCAGCAGTTTAAGTGAAGCAATAGCTACCAAAGCTGTCCTATCCTCCTGAATAATAGTGTTACTGTAATATCAGGTTTTCAGATCTAGTTCCCCAGCCAGGAATTGATCCCAGGCTGCAGTGGCAGCGCTGGGTCCCAGCCACTACACAACCATGGGTTCGTGTCTAATGAGGCCACCTTGCAGTCCTGCCTCAGAGAATATACACTTTCTTTTCCTAATTGCTCTAAAACCCCATCAGTCTCGTTGTGATTGGTTAGTTCTTGGTGGTCTCACTCATTCTGCCTTAATGTCTCTGTGCCCAGAATTACATCTTACATCTCAGTCCTTATCTTAGAGTCCTTTTTTATTGCCCTTGTCTGGGAATGTCCCACTGCCCATAGTCCATGATGTTAGATTAATCTCTTTTGGAATCTGTTGCCCTATCTCTGGAGCCTGTCTGATTCCTCCAAGGCTTTATCCTATTCTAACCCCAGAAGCTACCGCTTGCCCTATGATTCATTATGTCTTTATTTCAAGTACACAGATAAAGCACACCAGGTACCTCTTGCAGCAGCAGATGCAAAGCCAAGTCAACACCCCTGTGAGCACTAGGAGGGTCAGAACCAGCACTGTCACGTAGAATACACTCCACTCTGAAAAACAAGAAAGCCGGAGCAGACATGGTTACATGCTGTGTGCAAAACAACTTCATTTCATGATTGGCAGTATTTCTGACTCCTTCCAAGCAAAGGTCATCTTGGGCCTGAGCAAACCTCATGTGGCTGGAAGCAGCGCAGAACAGGGTAAAACACAAATAACTCAAGAACAACCTAAACGCTACTTTTGTCTAGTTGGTTCACGAAGCACATATTTCATGCTGACTTGAGAACAGAATCATCTGAAAAAACTGAAACCAATCAATTAAGAAAGAAGTCATGTCTCTTAAACACCCATGTACGGATCATCAAAATATGCATTCCAGAATCATAACCCTCCTGCCCTCCCAAATAGTTGTGAATTGGTTTTCATAAAGAAATAAAGTACTTCTGTGGCTTCCTATGACCTGCAGGTACTTTTCACAGTGCCAAGCAACAACTCAGAGATGAGTGGGTCTTCATTCCTTCCACAACCTTGCAGAAATCCTATGTAAAAGCTTTGCAACAGGGGCCTCCCTGGTGGCACAAGGGGTAAGTTGCAGCACTATGAAGCTATTGGCAGCCTCTGCAGCACAAGTTCGATCCCCAGCCAGGGAGCTACCCACATGTCACAGCAGACCTCTCCTGACTTGGCCCACTGCTCCCCTCAGCAAGGTTACTTCAGTAGATCTGCATGTTTTGCTCCCCACTCTGTCTCTGGTGAATCCTCTCACCCCCCGACACTCTGGCCTGTAACCCCGTTCTGGGATGAATAAATAAATCTTTTAAAAAAAAAAAAACAACTTTGCAACAGCAACTCAGGAGCAGAGAAGCCAAAGGAGTGAAGGTTCAAGGCTTAACTCTACTGAATATTACACACGCTCCTTGGAATAATGCTCAAAGGGCTGGCTATTTTTCAATTTTTATGGAGTAGTGATGAGTGGGAACATAATTTGGCAGTCAACGCTCAGTAATATTTCTGCTAATTATGTCCATCTGGAGCCCCAAGACAACAAATTTACTCTTAGAAATAGATAGGCATTAAAATAGTTTCCCCTCCAGAAGGGATTTAAGGCACCAGCTTGGCCAGCTGAGGCAGTGCCTCCACATGCTGTTTGGGCACACAGTCCAGAAGAGTCGCCCTAATTCTTTTGTTCATCTGATTCCAGCAGGTCCATACCAGGGGCCATGTCACCACAAGGCCAAGCCAAGCTTAAGGAAGAGCAGGTGACCTGGAAAGGCAGGCCTTGTGGCCCAAAGCAATTCTCTCAGCAACACCCGCCGTGATTCTCCAGATTTGCTCTACAAACTCAATTTTCTCATGAGGACATTTTACCAAAAAGCCTAAACTCACAGACTATGGAGAAGATCTTCATTTACCAAGTGAATGAGTTCACTTGGCTTCAGGAAATAGGAACAGGGTTGAATGTTTACAGCTGCAAAGCTAGGCAGATGTTTCTGATATTCCAGAATGACGTGGGATCACACACACCCCCACCTCAAATGTTCACATAGGCTTTTCCCCAGATGTCCAGAATAGACTTTTTTCAATTTGTGTCACCTTGGTATGTGAAACTAAGGTCAACCAAGACCCTGTGGGTCTCAAGGAAAACTCTTACTACTTTAAGAAAAAAATGCAGGGTCTCCCCGGTGGCACAGCCCTTGAGCGCTGGGCTGCGAGGCTGCCCGCAGCCTCTTTAGCGCTGGTTCGGTCCCCAGCTGCAGGCGAGGGTCCCACATGGGGTGCAGACCTCTCCTGCAGTGCCCGCTGCTCCCCTCAGCAGTGTATTTCGTCAGTCTGCCTGTTCTGTTCCCCACTCTGTCTCTGGTGAATTCTCTCACCCTCCCGCACTTCTGACTGTACCCAGTGTTTGTATAAATAAATAAATAAATCTTTAAAAGAAAAAAAAATGCAGATTACCTAGATTTGGGGGCTTCTGCAGAAATAACCTTTTTTATCATAGAAATCTATCTAGAGGCAAGGTTTTGTCACATGAGTTACCCTCTCCTTGTCATATAAAGCCCCAACTCCCTCCTTAACACCCAGGACACAAACCCTGTTTGTCCCATTCTCTTGTTCATGCATTTAGAATCGACAACCATGTAAATTTCCAATGGGCATGTAACTAAGTTTTTTCCCTTTTCTCTCTCCAGTCTGTCTGAGAAGGATCCAGAGGAGTGGATCCCCTGTTCCCTGACAGTGAGTTGTGCTGAAGCTCCCCACCCAGGACTCACCGCAGTTGCTCTCCCCATCATGGATGTAGCTCTGTATCAGGTTCTCCATCCACAGCTGGGAGCAAATGCAGCGCTTCGTGATGGGGTCACAGAGGCCATGGCCAGAGCACTTCAGAAGGCAGCCTGCAAAGAGGTCAGAGGGCTGAGGTCACCACACAGAAAAGCTGAGGTTCCCTGGCTTCAGCTTGTGGATTCCAATGACTTCGGTCCAGAACACATACATCTTGCTGAATCAAGAGCCCCCAGTGGCCAGCAGTGTTCGAGGGAGTCTCTCAGTATTGACAGACTCAATCTGGAAGCAAATGGCAGAAAAAAGCCAATCCACACCGTAACACGAAACTCTTAAAAATGCAGCATCTTCTGGCCTAAGAAAGATAAATTCAAAAAATTGATCCAGTGAACATACTGAGGACCCTAGATAACACCACAGTGAGGGACACTGGCACCCCAGAGCAACTTTTGACTCCCCCAATTTTTTTTAAAGATTTATTTATTTATGCATACAAGAGCTGGGGTACAGGCCAGAGATGCGGAGGGTGAGGATCTACCAGAGACAGAGTGGGGACCAGAACAGGCAGATCTACTGAAATACACTACTGATGGGAGCAGTGGACAAGACAGGAGAGGTCTGCTGCGCCATGTGGGATCGAACTTGAGCTGCAGTGACTGGCGATAGCTTGATAGCCCTGTATTTAACCCCTGCACCACCAGGGAGCCGTACCCCAAATCTTAACTACTAATAGCCTACTATCGATAGGAGGCCTTTCTGAGAACAAAAACAAGTCAATGAGCTCATATTTTATTTTTTCTTTTAAAGATTTATTTATTTATTTATCATTTATTTATTTATTTATTTATTTATTTATTTATACAAGCACTGGGTACAGTCAGAAGTGCAGGAGGGTGAGAGAATTCACCAGAGCCAGAGTAGGCAACAGAACAGGCAGACTACGAAATACACTGCTGAGGAGGGCAGCGGGTGGCAGGAGAGGTCTGTCGCACCATGTGGGACCCTCACTGGCGGCCAGGGATCGAACGGTGCTGCAGAGGCTGAGGGCAGCTTTGCAGCCCAGAGCTCAACCGCTGCGCCACCAGAGGAGGCCCTGAGCTCATATTTTGTATGTTGTATATATTATATGCTGTATTCTTACAATAAAGCTAGAGAAAAGAAAAAATTATTTAAAAAGTCACAAGGAAAAGAAAAGGCATTTACAGGATTTTCAACTACACAGGGCTCAAGGATCAGCTGCATTATGTATTGAAAAATCTGCATGTAAGTGAACCCTGCAGCCCAAACCTCGTTGTTCAAGGGTCAGCTGTAATTGTGGGCATGCATGCAGATTCACCTACAATTAATATTTACAACTTAATATTGTTATAATTAAACATTATTTAAAATCAAGCTTAAAGTACATGAATAGAGGACTGGTTGCATAAATCATGAAACATTCAGAGAGGAGTATTATGCAACCAAAAATATCTTACTGGGGGAGAAATTTTATTTTTTTTTAAGATTTATTTATATATGCATAAAAGAACTGGGGTACAGGCCAGAGGTGTGGGGGTGAGAGGATCACCAAAGAGAGTGGGGAGCAGAACAGGCAGGTTGACTGAAATACACTGCTGAGGGGAGCAGTGGGCGAGACAGGAGAGGTCTGCCATGCCATGTGGGTCTCCTCAGTGGCCGGGGATTGAACTCATGCTTCAGTGGCTGTGGATAGCTTCACAGACTGTGTCTTAACCCCTTGTGCCACTAGGAAGGCCCGAAGGAGAAACTTTGGAGCATTTGAGGAAAACACTCATATTTAGAAAACAGAATAAAAACAAATATCAAATTATCCTGGTGGTATAAATGTCTCCAGAGAAGGAGGAACTGTAAGGATATACATCAGGGTCTTCACAAAAGTTTGGGTGGTGGGAATTCTAGCTTTTAGAATCTAGAGGGCTATTTGAAAAAAAAACTTTGGCCTCTTTGGGTATTCCAAATTTCCAACAATACATAAATATTACTTTTGCAGCCAGGATAAAAGGAGTTCTTAAAAAAAATCTTACTCATCTCAGAGAAGGAGACTTGGAGGAGGCACGTGGAGCAGAAACATAGGAGGGAGGGCGTGCTGGCTTCTCAGCCTTGGCTGAAGCCAGGGACATGGAAGGAGACATGTGGAGTCGAGACATGTAGAGACACTTGGAAGAGAGATGGGTAAGAGACCACTGGGAAGCTGACCATGGCAGCCTTTGTCTTGATTTGTCCTTTGATTTTGCTCCTTTCATCTCAAACCTGCCAGGCCCCTTCTGCCCCTTTCTATGGGTCCCCACCAGAAGGTGCCTTTGACTTGAGACAAGCGTTTGGGCCTCAGAGGCCCTGCTTTGTGCCAACCCTATTTGGCTGGGCATTTACCCACAAGGGGATGGGTAACTTCGGTGTTTTACTGGGAAACTATTATCCTTTCTTCCCTCTCTATGCATACTATTCTATTAAAATTCTATCACACTAAAAAAAAACCTGTTACTCCATGTTACAATTGAGAAAGTCAATTGTGGGCAGACATATATCTGAAACAAATTAAATTTGACTGAAATCCCATTTACTAGGGATGATAAGATTCTAGAAATTAAGTGTACATAGAAGAGATGAGATCCCCCAATAATTTCAAACACAGCCTTCTGCTAGAAAAGGCTTGAGTCTATGAGTGAGGAGAAGTAGATGACTGAAATTAACTTTTGGGATAATTTTAACATCTCTGTCTTATTTTCAGATGCAAAATTATGTTGTAGGCCTCCCCGGTGGCGTAGCAGGTTGAGTGCAGCGCTGTGAAGCTGTCCACAGCCTCTGCAGCACAGGTTCGATCCCGGCCGGCCGCGGAGATACCCACATGGCGCGGCAGACATCTCCTGTCTCGCCCACTGCTCCCCTCAGCAGTGTATTCCAGTCCTTCTGCCTGTTCTGCTCCCTGCTCTGTGTCTAGTGAATTCTCTCACCCTCCCGCGCCTCTGGCCTGCACCTCAGTGCTTGTATAAATAAATAAATCTTTTAAAAAAATTATGTTGTCTTGCATTAAGATTTACAAAGCAATGGTGCTTATTTGCAAAAAATAGATATTAAATTTTACTATACAACATTATTGTGTCTCTTATAACTCTCACACACCTCAGTGTCCATTGCAATGACCACACTAACATAATAAGGGATTCATGTCCCTCAGAGACCTTGGACAACAATCACACTTCTATCCACACCTATGAATTGTTTGGTGCCCAGGAAGGGTGGCAAGCCAAAGAGCTCAAAGGCACAATGGAAGGACTTATAAGGTATTTTAAAATTTCAATAATCTCTTT